CAACACTATTTTAAATAAAGTGCATTAATTTACATGTTAATTATTAGATCCATGGGACTATCTAGGACCTACTACTACTACAGGCATTACTAAAATGCCAGTTTATTCGTCGTGGAATGTGGATGATGCCTTGAAAGCTAGCTCAAATTTGCGCGGAAAATGGCTTGGAAAAATGTGCACAGAACAACTTCATATACTAACTACTAACTAACTACTACTAACTGCATATATTAATAAAATAATTGCTATGTTACACCACTTTGCAATGCATTTGAATATGGGCTTTTTTTTTCAACAAAAATTATCATTGATGATTAGTGCCAGAATGATTAATTCCTTATAAAGACAATATTGTAATATCAATACTAATTATTTTTGAATGGTGTAAGAATAGTCACTCTGATTTTTTTTAACTAGTCTGTTCAAACTTTTTATTGTACTTCTCTTCTTACAGGAAATGCTGACATGTTGGATATCATTGGCTTTCATTTGGTAGGTGTTTAACAGGCTAAAGAAATCTGACAGAAGGGTCATCCCATCTTGCACTGTGTGGGCGATTAGGGACAAGTTCCCAGAAGCTGTGAAGACTGCCCTGGGTTTTTTGATGCTATAGATGATGAAATAAACTTTGTGTTGGAAGAATTATATATAAATTGTTATGGAAGATACCTGATAAGTCCATCCTCATTAATGCAACAGATCTTATGTAAATAGATTCATTCTTGACAATTCATGTGACAACTGTGCTCTGTTTTTTTGACAATCTCATCACTCATGAAAGGAAATTTTGTCAGCACAGGCCTAGAGCTTTTGTATATCTGGACCAGTCAATTGTGTGTAACCTTCCAGACCTAGTCTGTAATTGAAATTGTTGCTATTGAACATTTTGTCGTTAAGTACAGTACAATGTTTTTTGTATCTTCCCCACTCTCGTCTCATATTTTAAAATATTAAGCTAATACAGTATGAATTAAAATTTTGTGTACAGTAAATAAATGTAACTTGTTCTTCCCTATTCTTTACATTGGTATAAACTATAGTAACTATAAATCCATATATATAATATTTTGATAATAAATAGAGTGTGTAGAATGCAGTGATATATATTGTAATACCTGACTGCTTTAATCTGTGTACAGTAAAACAATTTTATATTAACTGTGAGAAAATACACTTGTAATAAATTATTTTCAATGTACAAGGATGATAAATTGTTTCAAAATATTTATTTAATAACACCAGTAGTCTTGAATTTACTGTATGTACAACAATAACTAAGTGAAGCACCAAAAATATGGATGTTGAATATCATCATGAAAGAAGAAATCTTGGCTATGGTAAATAATACAAGACAATCAGACATGATAAATTGAGCAGTGCAGTTAAGACGACTAATAATATACTCTAATAATTTCTAAGTCGATCTAATTTTACATGCCGAATTGTTGTGTTTTCCATTACCGCAAGTGCAAGTCAAATTTTGTTAGGGTCAAACAATTTCTCAATGGCATTTTGGACATGACATAGGCAAGTTCAACTACTGTATTTTAAAATACTAAACAAAAAATGGAAAACCGAAAGGTCCACTGATTAATCTCAGATAAGAAAGTATAATACATACTCCAAGTATTGAAATACACGCCATCGTGTTGGGATTCAATATTTCGACATTAATTATGTCATCATCAGGAAAAAAATGGTGTACAGCAAAAAAATTGAAGCTTTTTCTTAAATTCCAATACCAAATTGATCAGCATGCAGACATAGGCATAATCCAGGCATTAAAAAAATAAGCAGTTTCATAGAATAACTTTGCACAAGACTGTACAAAGCCATATATTAAATAGTTGTTCCTGTATATATTGAGCCACATTTTCATAC